CCACTTTTCCCAGTTCTGGGGGAGACCACTGAACCTGCCCTCCTGGGTGTTCCCAGCCACAGACTGTGATCCACATGCAGCGAGGAAACTCCACTCTTTGTGCAAGTACTAAGTAGCTAGTGACTGGCTTCTGGCCAACAGAATATAGCAAATAAGGGGAGGTCAGTGTTAAGATTCATTGACAGAACCTCTGTCACTTCTATTTCACTTGCTGCATCCTGTGTTCTCTCTCTGTTTCTGTCTCTTTCTTTCCTATCCCTGGACTTGGGGAAGCCTGCATGGGTGTTTCTAGGTGCCATATGGAGAGGCCCACATAAGAGAGAACACAGGGAAGTCCCAGGCCTCTAGGCAGAGGCACTAGGCTCTCAGCTCAGACTGCATCCTGCCAGTACCCATATTAGAGAGTCTTGGAGTAAATCCTCCCCTGTGGAGTGACAGCTGAGACCTCAGCCCCAGCTTCATAGAGACCTTGAGTCGAGGGCACCGAGCTAAGTGCTGTGGGAGCTCAGGAGTAGCTAGGTGTATGTATTTTGTATGTTGGGAAACCCTCCATAATGATCTGCAGTAAATCAGACAATCTTTAGCATAGAGCAGGTCTACTCAATGTTATGTAAAAACAACCACAAAGACAATGCATATTAATAAAGGTAACAAAATGCACTAAAAACAATAATAATGAGAATTATGATGATATTACCATTACTACTGTTAAAGAGAAAAATAAACTTAGAAAGATTGCAGATATGCGTACAGACTCCTCTAAGTAAATTTCAGGGTACCTATATCAGACGTCCTCTGGGGTATTTTAGATTCAGAATCCTAGGTTTGCACAAAGAAATTTGTTCTGAGAGGAGAAAAGAAGCAGGTGGTTCTGGGTCAGCAGGGAGGATGATATGTTGGCACAAACAGTGCAGGGGCTCCCTGGGGAATTTAGAAAGAGAAATGATTACTTGAGCAGGCACGTCACCACCTCTATGTCTGCAAGTGCTGCACCAGCTTTTCCTGGACCCCTGAGTGAATTTGGAACATGTCCCCAGGTTGAGGCATGCCAAGGATACTCTCCTTTCTTCTCACTTGTCACAATGTCAGTTCCTGGGCTGACTTTTAAAATTCGGAGGACTGGACTCCAGGAGCGACACCCTCTCCAGCCTTCCCAGGAGACGTGAGAGTGGTTCCTGGCACAGAGTTGAGGTGGAAAATCCTGTGCTGAGTCTGGCAGGACAAGGGTGTCTTCCAGGGCTCTTGCACTAGCACCACTTTCTGGTCACTTAAGAGGACTTAAACATTGTTCTAGAGGCTCAAGAAATTCAAGAATGTCCTCCCTGGTGCTCACTTACCAGTAACAACTGTCCCTTCCTCCACTGGGTAAGTCTGAATATCTCAGGAGGCTCTCTGACCCACAAGTACCCATAAGCACAGCAGGAACCAGGAAGCACCGTGTTTATGTAAGTCTGTTGAAAACCCTCCACAATACTCTTCAGTAAGTTGGATATATTCATGAGCAGAGAAACTTAATAAGAAATGCAATAACAACAATAGTGATAAATAATAATATCAATAGTGATTACAATCATGAAGATATTAACTGTACTACTACCCATCATAATACTAATAAACTTAAGGACTGAGGGATTGTAGACTTCCCTTATTGAGTGACAAGTTTCCTGGGGTATTTTGGAGTCAGAGTCCTAGGTTAGCACAGGCTTTGGAGCCACAGTTGTAGGTTTGCATAGTGGAGGTATAAATAGAGCAAAACTAAACAGCAGCAGGTAAAAGAGATCCATGGGAGGGCGTGGGCTGACTTAAGTCTCATATTCCAAGCCCAGAGGAGAGCACTATGTAGAAGAGAAAAGTTGATCCTGGGCTTTCCTGACACATGGAGCCAGCAAATCTCATGAGTTCTGACGACTGGTGTCTGCGGCTCTAACCCGGGAAAGAAAAGCAGGACTCCAGATACACATTCAATACGTGAAAAAAACACGTAAAATGTACATGGAGCTTCAGCTCTATCTCTACCCCCACTGCCTGTCGATTGACAAAGTGGCAGATCAGGGCTATTGATTGCCTTTTGATGCACCTACAGACTTACTTGGAATTGGGAGGAGAATATTACTTATGAATTTGCATGTAAAATTTTTATAATAACCTATCTGGAAATTGGATTACCACTTTCTTGGGAAATTGATAGGTTATTTTACACAACACCTCATATGTTTCCTTTAGTAACATTCCTTCACAGTATATCTATTTCTGAATATGTATGAAAGGCACATGCCACATCAGCCCAGAGAATCCATTGACGGGGCTTTAGAGATCAGTGACCTTTGAGGACGTGTTTGTAGAACTCACTCATAAAGAGTAGGACGTGTTGGACACATTGCAGACAAAGATGTACACAGACGTGATGCTGGAGGACGCCCGTTGTTTCATCTTCTGGGTGCGTCTCTCAATATTTATTTACTTCCTTATGCATGTCTTATTGAGATAGGCTCTGCAGCTTCCACATATGCTGCTGCACTCTTGGCCCTGACTCATGCTTCTGTAACACTTAGAGCAACCTGGAACGAATGTGTTCCTTTACTTATCACAGCACATGTGTCCCTGCATTGAGATACAGTCTCCATTACCACAATCGCACGTACTCCTTACTAGTCTGCCACCAACACGCAGAATAATGCTGGACACAGATAAGGGCTATTTTATCTAACAGACAAGTGACTTTATGTTGCTAAGTAATTCTTCTGCTCGGGGGACTACTATGAGGTTTGAACACAGCAAAAAACACATAACAGCTTGTATCACCCTTTCTACATGAACCCCAAGTAATAATCTCATGGGTCTTAAGTTCATTGGATTCTGTTAGAAAACAGTGTTAACCACATTATGAAAACGTTGCTTCCTTCCTGGCTGAGACGTCTAGGCAGCATGCAGCCTGTCTTTCCTCTTGGGCAAGAAGAGCAGCAACCAGAGACTTTTACTGTCTTTGAGTGAAGTGTCGGGTGACAACCTTCAGTGTTTCCCCCCTTCAGGGTGCTCGAACTTGGGCTGCCATTGATGCCCTCACACTTGAGCCTTGGCATGTTGTCCTGCACTTGCATTGCATGCACTGTTCTCAGCACAGAACTTCAGATCCATCTAGCATTTCCCACACGTACCAGGGCATCCGCTCTGCCAAACAGATATAATTTCCCAGTTGGAGCAAGAAGAGTAGGTGTGGAGGGAAGAGGAGGGTTTCCCCAGGCTGGGGTCCAAGTCAGCTCCAGACACATGTGCTCTGTGTGGGGAGGGAGCAGGGCACTTGGAACGTCAACTGGAAGTTGGCTCGACTAAAGGATATTTTTAGAAATGTATGTGAAGCCATTGAGTCAAATTATCCAGATTCTGTCATTATGCATCACACATCAATTGCTCTTCACGTTTCCCCCTGTATTTTTCAGCTCAGAGAAGCAAAATTCCTGTCCTCGTGGAAGTTAAAATTTCATGTTTTTGTCTTTGCCATGGTCCCTTTAATAATTTTTCCTCTCATATTCCCTGTAGCGTCTGAATTTATTTTATTTTCCTTTTACCTAAACACTGAACGTCTTATTAACATTTTTCTAAACCATGTTTCTATTCAGTGGTGTATTTCTCAAATTCATGTTGTTTCCCCATGTAATGTACTTTTCAACAATTTAATCCCCCTAATGTCACATGTGTCATTTCTTATTTATTTAATTTAATTATTATTTTTGTCTTATTTCAAGCAAAAATTGTGACCATTAAAAGCAAGAAATGATACTCAGGCAAGTTATTTCCCTGGTGGACCAATGTAGCTGTAAGAAAATAGTATATTTATTCAGGTGTGAACTCTGGTCATCCACATGTGAAACCTGGGAATGAGGTAAGTGAGGAATTCAGCAGATTCATAGAACTCAGTTATGGTGCAGTGTAAACACTAGACCAGCATAAAGTGTTCACTTTATGGACTAAATTAGACTGAATTTTGATGATATCTCGTAGAAATGTTACAAAGAGGGGATGTCCATGCAGAAGATTTACATACTATGTGTATGTAACTGACATGGAGATCATTTTAACTGGAGAATATCATTGAATAGACTTACATACACATGAGTTTTCAAAACATAGAAAACACTTTTACTGTAATGAATGAAGGAGAGCCCTGAGGGATTTTTCATTGCTTACTCAACATTGAATTCTCACACTGGATCTATCAATGCCAAAATCAAACTGAAAAGCTGGAGTTCATATCAAAATTCTCAGACATGGAAAACCTCTTACCAAGATTGTTTTACCACACATTTCAGCTACGAATTCATAATTTTGGCTAATAACCTCTTATTTTATAAATAAGTAGAATAAAATTATTGATTTGTTAAGTTGTCTTGAAATGATAAATACAAAAGTTTGTAACAATAAGTACTTTTTTTAATAGGTTAGCATTAAGAAATATATATAAACAAAGTTATATGTGACAATTATTATGATGCACTTAATTGTGATTGTCAGTAAGATTAACAGTTGCTTTCTCATCAGAAATTTTGCAGGCCAGAAGAGAGTGAAATGATATGCTTAAAGCACGGTGGGAACTACCTACCAACAATTCTATATCTTACAGTATTATTCTTCAACATGAGGAAAATGAAAGACAGTCTCAGACAAAAGCTGAAGGAGTTCAGTACCATAATACCTATCCTTCAAGAAATGCTAAAGGGAGTACTTCAAGTTCAAATGGAAGGACACCAGAAACTTGAGGCCATATGAAAATATATATTTCTCTGATAAAGGTAAATAAATGGACAAATAGAAGAAAAAATCTATAATTTTGACTTGTAACTACACTTTTTATTTCTAGGATATTTTTTAAAACCAAAATATTAAAATAATTATAAATGTATTGCTATTGCATGATTGTTTCCCCTAAAATTCATATGTTAAAAATATAACCTCCAAATGTGGTGGTATTAGGATGTAGGGCCTCTGGGGGGTGCTCAGATTATGAGGGCAGAGCCTCCATGAATAGGATGTGTGTGCTTTTATTTATTTTAAAATATGTATTTACTTATTTGGCTGCATTCACTCTTGCTTTCAGCACGTGGGATCTTTGTTGTGATGCACAGGCTTCATATCTAGCTGTGGCATGGGGGCTCGGTAGTTGCAGCACACAGGCTCTGTAGTTGTGGCAGACAGGCTCCAGAGCCAGCATACAGGCTCAATAGATGCGGCACATGGGCTTAGTTGCCCTTTGGCATGTGGGATATTAGTTCTCTGAACAGGAATCGAACCCATGTCCCATGCATTGGAAGGCGGATTCTTAACCACTGGCCTACCAGGGAAGTCTCTTGTGTGCTTTTAAAAGAGACCCCAGAGAGCTCTCTAGCCCCTTCCTCCAGGTGATGATATAATGAAAAGTCTATGACTCAGAAAAGACCTTTACCTAACCACCTTGATCTCACACTTCAGCCTCCAGAACCATGAGAAATAAACTTTTGTTTATAAGTTACCCAAGCTGTGGCATTTTGTTATAGCATCCCCTAATAACTAATTCGTACATCTACATTAACAGAAAACAATGTATACATATGTGACTTGTGACATTAATAACATGTAATTAATGTGTAATGTAATAGGAGATGTAATAGAGATTTTGCATGTGATTAAAATTATGTTGATATCAGTTTAAGCTAGTTTGATAGGATTTTATATGTAATCTCCATGGTATCCACAAATTTAATATCTATAGGATATACACAGAAGGAAATTAAAAGTAAGTCAAGTCAGGGGACTTTCCTGGTGGTCCAGTGGCGAAGACTCCATGCTCCCAATGCAGGGGGCCTGGACTCAATCCCTGGTCAGGGAACTAGATCCCACTTGCCACACCTAAGAGTTCGCATGCTGCAAAGAAGATCAAAGGTCCCCCATGCCACAACTAAGACCTGGCACAGCCAAAGGATTTAATTTAAAAAGTGAGTCAGTACAAAAAGTAAGAACAAACGACGTCAGTATGTGAGAAAATGTGGGACAGAAAAGCTATATGACATTACAGAAAACAAATTGGCAATTAAATGTCATTTCATATCAGTAATTTTTATATATATATATATATATATATATAGATATAACTCATCAGTTAAAAAACAAAGATGGCCCCAGCCTTTTTCTGGCATCCGGGCCTGGAGGGGCTGCTCTGAAGACGGGCGAGCAGCATGGAGGCCCGCGGCGAATCCCAGCCTGACGCGAGGTGTTCGTCGTTTTCCTGGGACGGCTCCGGGGTCTCAGTGTCCAGGGAGCTGCTGACGGCGGGCAGTGGCGGCCGCGGAGGTATATGGGACACGTTGGTCATCAACTCCAAGCCTAATTCCAGAAAGAATTCCACTCTTCAAACAGTTCGGATAGAGAGGAGTCCCCTATTGGACCAAGTACAGAGCTTTCTCCCACAGATGGCTCAGGCAAACGACAAGCTAAGGAAAGTAATGGCAGCTGCACCACCTGGTCATTTCAATATTGAAAATATTGACGAGACTCTCAGAAAAGTTATGCAAATGGATGTGGCCTTGTTTGAGATGAATCAGTCTCATTCAAAAGAAGAGGACAGTTCAGAAGAGAATTCACAAGACAGTTCAGGGGACAGTTCAGAATTTGAGGATGAAGATGATAGCACCTCTTCTGAAGGTGAAGTCACCACCAATACCATTAAGCTTCCTCATTCAGAAGATGGAAAAGGCAAAATAGAGGTTCTGGACAGTCGTGCCAGTGAAAAAAAAGAAACAGGGAAATAAACCATCTGAGAAACAGGTGATAGATGCCTGCAAATTCTGTGAAAAAGAATGTGGCGTGCCGGTTATTTTGCATTTCAGATACCTATGGTGCTTTTTTGCAATATTGAATGTATTTTGCTTCTTGGAGAAACAGAAGCTAGCTTTTAAAGAGTTGGAAGAGATAGCATTTGGGGATCTTCTAAGAGCAGACTGTTTTTGATCTCATGCTAAAGAGATTTAGTTTAGAAAGCTTAACTTTATGTATGGTGATGAGTGAATTTGTTGGTATCTTCTTTCATCAGCATAGACTTCAGAAATCTCAAACCTATTTTAAAGCAAAAATACAAGTTATCCATTTGTTTTTGTTTAAATTGGCCTCTTGGGGCTTCCCTGGTGGTGCAGTGAGTCCGCCTGCCGATGCAGGGGACGCGGGTTCGTGCCCCGGTCCAGGAGGATCCCACATGCGCGGAGCGGCTGGGCCTGTAAGCCATGGCCGCTGAGCCTACACATCCGGAGCCTGTGCTCCGCAACGGGAGAGGCCACAGCAGTGAGAGGCCCGTGTACTGAAAAAAAAAAAACAAACCTAGGTTGGGTATTTGTTTAAGGTTATTATAAAGTCACATTTATTTGTTACCATCAAAATGGGTTCAGTGAGGGAGAATTTTCTTTTTAACATCTTTATTGGAGTATAGTTTCTTCATAATGTTGTGTTGGTTTCTGCTCTGTAACAAAGTGAATCAGCTACATGTATACATGTGTGCCCATGTTCCCTYCCTCTTGCGWCTCCCTTCCACCCTCCCTATCCCACCCCGAGGGAGAAATTTTTTACAAAGAAAATACTTATATATTTAGATGCCCTCAGACATATCTACTTTAATTTAAAAACAAATCCTTTCCAGTTTGAGCTGGAAAACTGGTGCTCTGGTTTAATCACTGTCAGTGACTCTGTAGCCTCTCGATGCATGTAGAATTTGCTGGTTGGAAAATTTTGTGGGTTTTTTGGTTTTCTTTTTTCTTTTTCTCATAAAGGAATTTTTTTGTTTCAGCTATTAAAATTATTCCTTCCAGTTGCCTACAGATTTGAAACCTATTAATTGTAGAGAATAGGGACACCCTAGGAAAATAGGTCACAGTACATAAAGAGGTAGTAACAGGTTTTCCCTTTCAAAAGGCAAAATGATCCTGCATTGGAGTTGCCTTTCTGCCACATTCTTGATCTTATTTAACTTGTTTGGGACCTCATCTGCCATGGGACTGGCTTTGCTCAGGATATAGACCTGAGAATTTAAAGGACTGTCTCCAAGTGCATTGAGCTGATGGGACTTTGTTGTCTAATATTTTAGGGTTTCGTTTTAACTATTTTTTCCTACTCCTCTCATTAGCCTACGACATCTTGTAAATACTCTGAAGATAGTTCTCCAAGTTCCTTCTGGTATATTTCATTGGGAATTGGAAATTGGCTGTGCACTCAAAGTATGCACAAGTGAACAGATCGGGAAAGGAGACTTCTCACCTGCAAACGGTATTATGCTGTACTTCGTAACACCAAACACAGCTGTGATGAGTTATTGGTGTGACTATTTAAGGATTGTCTTCTACCAGATATTTATGCCACATTGTGGGAAGAGTTGCATTTGTCTGTTTCACTCCTTAGCTTGGTGCATGACACGGTAGGCACCAAATGATGTCGATAAGTGAATTTACATGTATATTGAGGATGTACAGGGCATTTTAAGCCATGGTATCCATGCGGATATGAAAGTGTAACTTCACTGCAAATACAAAGCCAAGTAGAAATAGTCTGATGGTCACTGAAAGAGACTAGTCAGTCTAGAAATACATACTAGTGTGTAGAATTATATTTCTCTCCTGCCTTGGCCTTCTCATATAATACAACTAGGTATTCTACACAGTTAAATAAGTCAACTAAATTCAGTTCCTCTGGACATTCTTATGACATAGGAGGAAAAGGAAAAACAAAAATATGTGATAGGGATGTCTTTTTAAGTAAGTGTAAAATGGTTGAATTATTTAATATAGAGTCAGGGATGGCTGTTTTTAAACAAAGTTGGATACTAAGATAAATTATGTATGTCTTAAAGGTTTAAATATAAAGAAAGAAAATAAGTTTCATACTAAAATATATGTGAATATTTAGTAACATAAACAAAGATGGACAAGATAGACATAAAAAGGGTCCAACTATATGTTGCCTACAAGAGACTCACTTAGAAGTAAGGACATTCATATGCTGAAAGTGAAAATATTGGAAGAGATATTGCATGAGAACACTAAGCAAAGAGAAGAGGAGTGGCGCTTCTGCAGCTGAGGCTGTGGCCCCTAATTTTCAGGGAGCAACCAAAGGCAGGGGGCAGGGGCTGGGGCACCCCTCCCACCCTCTGCACCTTGAGCCAGGGAAGTCAGAGGGACTTGGTCCCCCTCCCGAATTCCATTCTTCCTCCAATGAGAATGGTGCTAATCAATAAGGACCAGGCTATAGAGCTGATTCACTTTGTTATAAAGCAGGAATTAACACTCCAGTGTAAAGCAATTATACTCCAATAAAGATGTTTAAAAATAAAGAAAAATAAAGACCTGGGGAAAAGAGATGGTCCCCATGGAGAATGCCTATGTCCTAAGTTTATCTGCTGTTGGGTTGGCTTGAGAGAGGGCAGGAGCTACATGATGTGTTCTCTCCCTTCAAATCCAGTTTTTTCTTTCTTGATGCAAGCACACACCCCCACACACAAAACCAGTATAAAGTCCATATAGAATGCTAAAGGGTTGGTCTATGAGCTTGAAAAGAGGGAAATAGAACGCTTGAGGTCGGCTGTAGTGATGCGTTTCTGTCTGTGCATGTGCATTACTAAGTGGAAGGTCCACAGTGTCCATCAGATACTTAAGGGAGAACATATCTCCCAAGTGTTCTGGATTTTGTAAATTATTATAGGACAAGAGTCCTCAATAAACATCAGGTAGCTCTCTCACACACCATTCATTAAAGTAACAAATATTTATTGAGAGTCTCCAGGGATCCAGCATGTGAAATTTTCTCGAGACTAAGAGGTGAAATGTATAACATAACCACCTTCACCAAGTTTTTAGCTCAGTGGAGGCAATAAAATTTAATATGTCCCATTTTTTCTATTTAAGTATGACTCAGGGTTTAAGGTAATTTTTCTGCATTGTGTCCACAGTGTCCAAGGACTGACACCTTCCTCAAGCTCAGCACCTAGAACACGGATCTGATTGAGCTAAACTGGTGATGCACCTGCTTCCCAGCGAGGCTGTGATCGCTAATGGCTGTCTCCTGCTCCTGTGTCCGTGGCCTGCTCAGGATATGGGAGACACTTAGGCTGGCTCCTCAATGCGTTGTGTAACTTCCAAGGCCGAGAACTTGCTGAGCAAAACATAACTTCTTTACTTTTGTGAACACCTGGCCTCCAGAAGGCGGAAATATTTAGTGACAATGTACTGAGGACATAATTCCTTATTCGTTCCCTGATCTACACAGGTCTGTCACAGAGACAAGTAAAACAGGGAATCAGGCTTATGGGTCATTACTTGGCTGGGTCAAGAAGCTCTAGGCCATGTGGGAAGACCCCTCTCTCCTCCGAGATTTCTGCTTCAACCAATGGGGAGCAGCTGCCCTTAAGTTCTGAACTGAAACCCTATAAATTCACATATTGAAGTGCAGACCCTTGTACCTCAAAATGTGACTGTATTTGGGAATAGGGCCTTACGAGATATGATGAAGTTAAAATGGGTCATATGGGTGAGCCCTAATCCAGAGCTGTGCCCCTACGAGAAGATTAGGACATAGCGACGCACACTCAGCTCACATAGGTAAGTCCATCTGAGGACGCAGCAAGAATACGGCCATCTGCAAGCAAGGGAGAGAGGTCTCAGAAGAAACTGAACCTGTAGACACCTTGATCTGGGACTCGAAGCCTCCAGAGTTGTGAGAAAATTAATTAAGCCGCCCAGTCTGCAGTATCTTACTCTGGCAACCCTAGCAAAACCCTAATACAACTATATTTCTCCTTTATCCTCTTTCTTTCAAATAAAAATTATGAAAATAGCACCAAAAAACACAGTGTATAAAGTATTTGAAAGGAGAAAAAAGCAGGGGAACCACAGGAAGGGCTGATGAACTACACAGCCGTGATTTCACTGGTTTTCTTTGTCTCCTACCAAAGTAAGGGAAAATAGTCAAAATCACCATGGAAGGCTTGAGTAGACATTTTAGAGAAGGCAAATCTCTATGGTAGAACAAACTTGAAATGTATTCAGTTGGTAGAATAAATGCATTTTAATCTTTGGAGGTTTAAAAAAATTCAATTTCTTGGATTTCTAGAGCGGTTGTAATACATGTACATGGTTGAAGGTCCTGAAAATTGCATTACATTGTGCCCCCCACCACCTCCCCCTCTTTGCCCAGGAGTCCCTGCCCTCCACAGGTAGCCATGTATCTGGTTTCCCACGGCAAACTTCCAGAGTGTCTTTATGTGCATACAAGCAAATGTGAATGTATATTTCTCCTTGGCACCCTAATTAAAAACACAAATAGAATAGCAGGCAAGGTGTTCTATCTTCCTTTTATTCATTTGACAATATCTTGCAAATTATCCTCTATTAAGACATAGTTTCCTGCAAGACAGTACACTGAATGGATGATGTACTATAATGCACTTTGACAATCCACGTTGGGGTGAACACTGATATTCAATTATCTGTTTATATTACAAACAATGCAGCAATGCATAACCTTGGCATGCATTATTCTGCTGCTAGCAAATGTGTAGGGCATGTTTCTAAAGGATTTATAGCCTGGAGTGTTTCTGAGAGCATTTGGTAAGATACTCTGTTGCTGAATCCTTCTGTGGAGACTAGCAATGAGCCTTTCTCTTTCTGTAAACTGCAACCTATCAGATCTATCTCCCCATATGTTTAAATATGCTTTCCAGCCTCTTGCACCATTCAGAAACCCTCCATAATCTGCTCAGCACCTCTCTTTATTCTCACACCCATCACAGTCTTACCTGGCAGATACCTCCACTTTGCCCTCTGCCCATTTAGCAGGATTTAGAAATACTGAAACCCCTCCTTGATCATCTTCAATTAATCAGCTAGTGTGTGAATCAACTTTACTCAGTTTTATCACTAATGACAAACAATGGTAATTACAATAATGTTGAGTAAGACGACAGTAGTAATTTTCAGTTCTGTAGATCTCAGATTTTCTCCCTTCACCAGTGTCTACACTAACGGATCTCAAATCAAATTCTCAAGTCACTGAAATTGTTTCTTGCCAGGACACCGCTGTATGGCCATCTAGTCGTCATTGCAGTAGCGGACGCCAGGTAACAACGAAATGGAGGAAAAACCACCAGGATAGATCTGGATGGCATGGCAGAGAAGGTGCGCCTCCACTCCTCTGCACACGTCCCCTCTGGGTCCAACACAGGTCCCATTTCCCCCTCCGTGTTGTCTCCCTGTCCACGCGCGCGTTCAGAGGCCATTCCGGGACGAGATTCTCACGAGGAGCCTCTGACAACCGCGCCCACCCAGGACCGCGCATGCCCTAGGGCCTCCTACCGACCATCACCAAACGCCCCAGGCAGCTCCCCATTCCCCCATTTGTTAGGCTTCTACGACCACCAAGCCCCAGACGGGACCGTGACCGCGCCTGGAGAGCCCTCCCCGCTCGCCTGCGACTGTTCTTGCTGTCAACTGCATTGAGGGGACCTGTGTGTGGTCGACACAAGCGTTTGGCCGACAAGGCCAACAGAAGAGGGGACGCAGGACGCTCCCACGTAGACGCACCTCGGCCTGCACGGAAATACCGTCTGCGGAGCCCCATGACCACTTCTCCCGGGTTTCGGAGAAAGTGGCCGCAGGGGAGGAGCTCCACCACGGCTACGGGACCGGGACGCACCGTTTCCCCAAGGCGGCCAAGAAGCAGCACCGGGCGTCCTATTGGACGGGACGCCGCGGTCCCGTGTGACGGAGAACGCGAAGGACGGGGTCGCACTTCCAGTGCCTCCTCGTTACGCCATTCGGGCCGTACCCACTGCGGAGAAAAACAAATTTGGGAATTAAGGCGAACGAGATCCAGAGGGAAGGCCGGCGGAATTTGGCGGCGTACACATTCTTAGTAGACTTTGAGCCACCCCCAGGCGACACTTGGAAAACGAAAGTACGACCACCGGGACACACGGAGGACGACGCCGTACATGAATACACTCTCCTGACCACGCGCATCAACCTGGGCGCTTCACACGCAGGGGGCACAAGGGAGTGCCGGTCGAACCACCCAGACCACCACTCAACGACCTATAGGGAGCGCAGCGCCGGCCTCACACTACACGTCTGCACGTCCATATCCCGCGAGAGCAGTAAGCGCCCATGCCCCGGTGACCGGGACGCAAGCGCGCCAGCCAACAAGCATATTGGCCCTTCCAAAGGCCTCAACGCCCGGGACCGGGGCGTTCCCGACCTCCAGAGTGGACGCTGGTGGACCGAAGTGGTAGAAAATGAACGCTCCTAAAGTGACTCAGAAGGACGGACCATCAAGCCTCAGGCCCTCCGTAGGGCTCGGGAGACCCTCTACGTTCAAAACGCGGCGGACGGCACAGGTCGGGTTGAGTCGGCTCGGTCCCGGCGGCTGGAGGGGCACGGGCGGATGCTGGTCGACCAAGCCAGTCAGCCCTCACAACTCACTCGGGAGCGCGGCAACAAAAGCTCCCTCAGAAAGCTACATGCCCAATCTCCAGCGACCGATTGAGGGGCCCATGCCTCGGGGCCACCGGGACAGTCGCCACTCGCGTGGCGGCCTCTCAGAACGCTGCCTCGCGCCCGGCGGCCGAGTCTCAGCCCTCGCAAAGATCGCCGAAGTTCCGGAGACAAGGGACGATATAAAAGCGGCCGCCAGGTGGCGCCCGACAACCGGCTCGAACGTCTCCGGGCCGGATCCCGATCGCCGATCGGCGAGGGTGTAGTGCCGGCCGCCCAAACGCCCGAGCTCGTCTCGGGGCGTCCGCCTCGGAGCTAGCTCCCGGCTCGGCACGACACGGCGCGACCCCGGCAGCAGACGGGGGACGAGGAGCTGTGAAGATGGTGCCGGGAGGCTGCCGCGAAGGAGACGCTCTCTTCACCCTATTCCTGGGCCACCGGCCGCTGTAAACAATGAAAATTCTGCAGGGGGATGGGCTGCGTGAACTGTAAGCTGAAACCATGAAAGTACCAATAGAAAACACGGAGGTCATTTTATTCTGTAATTGCAGAGTGATGTTACTAAAACATAAAAACCAGGGCCCAGAAGCCATAAAGGAAACGATTGATAACTTGACCACCTAATTTGATCTTTACATATTCCACAAGCAAAGTCAGATGACAAAAAGTGGGTAGGTGGGAACATTTGTATTTGTGCAAATACATGTGTAATAAGAATACTGATATCAGTATTACTTAAGAACAGAACATTTAGAAAACAGCCATTGAGAGGGACCAGGTAAGTAAATTTCAAGTACATTCGACAATACAGTAATATCACTTTGTGCTTTGATTTATTGATTTTTAAAAAATGAGCTAGATCTATAGGTGTTGACTTGGAAAAAATGTTGATGACAAACTGTTTAATGAAAATAGCAAGTTTATATATATATTTTGAAAAGAGTAAATGGAAAAGTAAAGATTGGAATAGGTAAGGCAACTTTGCAAAACAAGAGTAAATTCCTCCTTATAGCCTGGTGTCAAGAACCAGAACGATGAGTGTGTCAGAAACAAACATGAGCCACACTTCCTGCTTTTCTGCCCCCTCCTTCTGTTGTCCTGGGACAGGCAGCTGGCATCTCAGCCCCTCAATGTCTCTCCTCCACCCACACCCAGAGCTACCTACAGGCAAGAAGAACTTTCACTCCACAGGCCTGGGCTCCCTATGTCCTCAGCCTGTTTCCTCATATCAGGAACCCTTAGCAATTCACTTGGTTTGCCCAGTCGTCCATGCCGAGGGTTGCTCGCCCCAACCTACACCTGTGCAGCCTTTCTCTCCAAAAGCTTTGAGCTGATATCCCAAGGGAAGAACATTCCCCTGGCATAGCAGTTATGAGCCAAGAGGACAACTGGAAGTTCGCGCCTGGATCCATCATACAAACTTTGTGTGCACTCAACTCCCAAAGACACAAGAGCGACGGAGGGTCCACTGTATTGTTAGCGCAGCATGGCCATTGCTTTCTAAAAACACGCAGGCTGAATCAGCAAGTCCAGCTGTGACACCAAGAAAAAAGAAACGCACACGCACACACACATATCGGCAGGTAATCCGTACTGCTGCCAGGTCAGAGAGTGGTGGGAGCAGAAGAGAGATCATTGTTGCCACTTCTTGGGTCCCCTGTGCTGAAAAATCCTGGTGGCTGTATTGATGTCACTGGCGGGGAGTGAGGGCTTGGAGCTCCCTAATCTGTCATTTGCCGTCTAGTGCCCTACATTTCATTCTATCATACACTTTCTCCTCAATACACAGTTACAAATAAGAAAAGAACAATCTGCATATGTTACATTCAATTTTCAAGTTTGAAGAAAGGTGAAGAACACATAGGGAGGGACCTCCCTGGTGGCGCAGTGGTTGAGAGTCCGCATGCCAATGCAGGAAACACAGGTTTGATTGCTGGTCTGGGAGTATCCCACGTGCCGCGGAGCGGCCAAGCCCGTGAGCCACAACTGCTGAGCATGCGTGCCTGGAGCCCGTGCTCAGCAATAAGAGAAGACACTGCAATGAAGAATCCGTGCCCCTCAACGAAGAGTAGCCCCCACTGGCAGCAAGTAAAGAAAGCCCGTGCTCAGCAACAAAGACCAAACACAGCCAAAAATAATAAATAAATAAATAAATGAATGAACGAATGAATAAATAAATAAATTGGAAACTCTTTAAAAGAAAAGTACACATAGGATAACTGAGTTATTGTGAAGGAAGAAAATTTTATTTGTCTTCTTTTGTAGATTTAAAAATGTTCAAATATAGTCTATAAAAAGTTTAATATTTTAAAAATTAGAAATAGTCAATAATTCCTCATTACTCTTTATTGCCCAGCACCCACCTCCACCCCAGCACCTTCACACTGGACTCACCTGTTGACACATCTGCTCCACCCCCAACCCCCTCCCACCGGTCTGGAAACTTGTTTCTCTCATTACTATCACCTGTGTTCACCACACACCTAAGGCTGTTGTAGTCATTCACATGGTAATTAGGGAGTTTTTCTTTACTGAGCCTAAGGGCTGTATTTATTGTTTTTAGTGAAAATCTCTCCCGTGTGTTCTGTGAAGTCACAGCATTAATGGAGTCTGGAACAAGTGGGTGTGAATGACGGAAGGAGATTATTTCCACATCAGTCTCCCTAACAGAGTGGTGAACATAACTGGCATTAGTATTTCATGGGTGCACTTAGAAGATCCAGGCCAAAAGGAGAAAACTGACCATTTGGCAAAAGATGGACCAATTCAAGAATAAAAATAAGTCTCTTCTCACCTGTTGTTACATTGTCAGAAACTAAGACACCATTGTCTTCCTCTGCAT